AGATTCTTGATCCACGCGAAATGTCCAACGTTGTTGTCTTCAATGTACAGCAGGTTGACGTGTTTGTCTCTTTTTAGCTCACTCAGACGTATCGGGACAATGTTCTTTTCCTCGATACTATATACATTGATTGAGATATCGTTGGCAAGTTCGAATTTTTTAAATTGGTTTACAGTCACTGGAAACTCAATGTCCTGGAGATTCAGCACTGTTGTTTAATGAGGATACGAAGAAATTCCCGACCTACGTCCCTTTCAGCTGGATGTAGAGCGGCGACCACAGACCATGCAAAACACGCATTGTCTTTAAATTGCACGTTGATCACCGCTCTCTTCATTATTATCGCCCGCGGTAATTTTATGTGACATCCCGCGCGCGCATAGAATTATATTTATTTATATTTACAGTTGTTCAGGAAATATCGCTCCCTTTTCTCAATCTTTGCACCGGCATCTCATTTACTCTAGTCCTTCTCTCTAGCATTTTCTCTCTCTTCCTTTTTCCTCTTGTACGCGGCCGTGACCCAATCCCGCAGCCTGTCCTATCAATCTAACTAGTCTCGCGCAATGTTATCACCCAATCATAAGCACGCTCTCAGGACCTTATCCGCGCTCCTGCGTCGATATCGACCCTTCCGGAAATCCTCGATCATTCTGTGAGTACCGGTCTATCGTGACGCACGTTGCCTTTAGAACAGTTTTCGCTCTCTGAATATTCGGTTTAGATTCTCGTGGATCTGATCAAGTGAACTCTAATTCGGTTGTATCAAACGGTCATTCTCATCTCCCGGAAATTAACAGCATCAAATTAAAGAATCATACGCGCGTGAAGTGTGCGCTATCCCTTCTCGGGACACCGGGGACTTGTACGCAGTTATCGTACGAAGCACGCGGTACGTCGTAGAGCGACGTAACATTCTCTTGCAACCTCTCTCGAATTCCTCGGCGGATTTCGCGGTCGTTCTCAATTACAAACTATAGAATTATTGCATAAGATCCTAGACTAATAAGATTTAGTGTAATTATTAGAATAAAGCGAGATATCATCGCTAGAAGAATTGTGAAGTGCGGCTCATATTTCTTTGTGTGTGTGACTCATTGACTGTTCTGCTCGACACCCCCGAAACCAGACATTTCTCGGGTTATTTATTAAACAGTATGGTTCCTCTTCCATACGAGCTCCCCTAATTTTGGCCTCCAATCCCGTCGTCGCAAATTATAATGTCGTTCCTGGCGTTGGAATGCCCGTGCTAGGCATATCCGGACCAGCTCGTATGCCTCGTGTAACCGCCGGTGGATCGTGTCGGGTTGCGCGGCGGTTCCCGCTTGGCGTCGGTCTTCCGGATGCGGTCTGGCGAGTTCTCTCCCGTGGTTGAGGTAGGCAGGGGTGTGCCTCGTGGCCTCGCTTCATGCGGTGTTGAACGCGTGTTGAAAAGCGGTGATGTGCTCGTCTCACGTCTTGTGGTTCCGCCCCACGTATTGTGCCACCATCGTTTTGATGGTCCGGTTGGCCCGCTCCACCGGGTTGCACTGCGGCGTGTAGGGCGGCGAGGTGCGGTGTTGGATCCCGAACGTGTTCAGCAGTTTTTCCAGCTGCTTGGATTTTAGCTGGGTTCCGTTGTCTGATATGACTCACTGTGGGCACCCGTGGCGGTATACGACCTGGTCAACGAAGACTCTTGTGACGTTAGCTGCGGTGGCTTTCCGCAGAGGCGTGACCTCTAGCCATTTCGTGAACCGATCTTGAATAACCACGTATGCTCTTGGTTGGAGCGGGGCAGTGGTCCCACCAGGTCGATCGAGACCTGCTGCCATGGTGCGGCGACCGGAGCGGTGTGCAGCGTGCCGGCGGGTCGTTGTTGCGATACTTTATGGGCCAAGCAGGTCGCACAGGAGCGTACGTATCGGGCGATTTCCCGGAGCATCCCTGGCCAGTAGTACTGCTGGGCGATGCGCGTCATGGTCTTGGCGGTTCCCAGATGGCCGGCGGCGGGGTCATCGTGCCACCGCTTCAGCAGCGCGGGTCGTTCGGTTGTGGGCACGCACTGTTTCCATTGTTCGTCCGCGGATATCTCCCGGAAGTCCAGGTCGTGCAGTATGTGCCTGTACAAGTACCCGTCGCGTAACCGGTAGTCCGGCCGGTCGGCTGGTCGAGTCTGGACGTCCTGGCTGATTCGGCGATACCATGCGCTCGATGGTATTTGTCGTGCTGCAGCGACCTCGGGTTCGCGGGAGAGCGCGTCGGCTACTTGATTTTGAGTGCCTCGCCGGTATTTGATTTCAAAATCGTATTGCTGGATTTCGATCATCCAGCGGGCCAGTCGGCCGGTTGGGGCCTCCAAGCGTTGGAGCCACCGGAGGGACTGGTGGTCGGTGAGTACGGTGAACCGGTATCCCTCTAGGTAGTCCCGCATCCGGCGTATCCCCCATACCACGGCGCACAGTGGGAGAAATCGGGAAATTGCGGCCAAAAATAGGTTTTTAACAATATTTTTATTTTACATAATAATGAACGAAACCTGTTGTATAACATCCTAAAATATTTGATAACCATTAAACATATTAAGTATTTGAAAATTTCAATAAAATTCTGTATATAAAAAAATCGTATATTTTTATTATTTTTTGTGTGTGTACATTATGATAAAGTTCTAATTATTTTTAAAAATTAATTAATTGGGGATTATTTTATAAATAAATTGAATTTATTGCATATTTATGTGTAGAATCCACAAAAAAAGAAGCAAACCAACAACTTACATGTCTGCTTTTTAAACAGTTCGTGAATGCGTAGCTGATTTGAAGATTCATATATGAAAAATGGTCATATTTTCAACACATTTTTTATAATGATAGACAGCAATAGACAGGTTCTGTTTTTGATAAAACTTTTCTTTAAGATCTTCCCTAAGAGTTAGTAAAAATCCCGTTTGCAGATATTTGCAGATGTGAAAGTCGGTGATGGTGGAGAAGTCCGCGATGAAACGTCGGTACCAGGACGCCAGGCCTAAGAACTGGCGTACTTGCCGGAGACTAGTGGGCGTGGGCCACCCGGCGATGGCTCTCACCGACCTTGGCAGGGTCGGTATGGATTCCGCGGCGGTCGATAATGTGGCCCAAGTATCGCAGGCTGTCCCGGCAGAAGTGGCATTTGTCCACGTTGAGCCGGAGTTTCGCGGCTCGCAGGCGCCGAAACACCTCGGCTAGATGTTCTAAGCGTGCCTCGAACGTGGCGCTGGCCACGACGATGTCGTCCTAGTACACGAGGACGTGCGGCTCTAGTTTGGGCCCGAGGATTGAATCTAAGAGGCATTGGAAGGTGGCGGGGGCCGAGTGCAGCCCAATTGGCATCCTCCGGAACTGCATTAGTCCCCTCCCTGGGACGGTGAACGCTGTGGCCGGCCAGCTTTCGTGCGCCAATGGTACTTGCCAGTACCCATTCTTGAGATCCAGCGTGGTCAGGTACTTTGCGCCTCAAAGTTTGTCGAGTGTGGCCGCAATGTGTGGCAGCGGATAGGCGTCCTTCTGCGTCACGTCGTTGAGTTTTCGGAAGTCGATGCAAAATCGGTAGGTGTTATCCTTCTTCTTAACCAGTACGACCGGGGAGCTCCACGCACTCTGTGATGGCTCGATAACACCGGCTTCTTCCATGTTTTGGACCTCTTGGTCGATGACGGCCTGCATGGCTGGGTTGCGCGGTCGGTAGCGCTATTTAATCGGCTGGTCGGTGGTCAGGCGAATCCGGTGCTCCATGCGGTCTGTTGGCCCGCGCACATTCTCGAACGCGGTTAGCTCCTGGCGCAGGAATTCCTTTAGCCGTTTGTCTTCGTCGGGAGTTCGGGGCGTCAGTCCGGCCGAGATTTCTCCTACGATGGGCACCGCACGGGTGGTGGCGGTTGGAGGTGCTGGGAGGGCTACTCCGAGCTTGGCCCATAGGTCAATGCCGATTAGCATTGGTCCGCTAAGATTTGGCATGACTTGGAATTGATGTACTACTGTG